CATTTATGACATTTGCAGCTTGGTTCCACAAATGATCTACTGGACTCAACCTAGGAATGAAAGCTTCTCACTGCAGGACTTTGACATTGTTTTTTCAGAGTTTTGACTTTGTAATCCTAGCACTGGGTGGTCTTGCAGTCTCCTATTGAAAAACTGACACTGCCAGATTGGCTTGCAATAATGCAGAAACTGTTGCCTCAAGAACTATGTCAATGTATTGCTGAGTCGTAAAACTGCCCTTAATCTGCACCAAAGGTGTTCTTGTATTAAAGGATTTTCCTCCTTATTGCATCACATTTCCAACATCCCAACACTTAACTTACATTCACACAAAGCCAAGCCTACAGTATTTGGTTCATAGCCAAATCATTTATAGTAAGCAATGTAAATAATTTTCTAGTAAGCAGCAGTTTATAGAGAAAATTGCATATGGTTAATTCTGTTGCACACACCAGACATTAAAAACAATGGATCAACTAATATTTTTTATTTACAGTTTGAAAACAATGCTTATATTATCAACATAAGAGAGAAAATTACCAATAGACACTTGTTTACAATTAATTAAGAATGCATGAATACATTTCTGATGTTGTGTATGATTTAAGCATTTTAATGAATCAAGTGAGAGAAACACTTTAAGATTCAAAAACGTAAATTTATAGGGATGGGGGAAACCAAATATTCACAGGGGAGATTAAAATAAACCAGTCTTTACTCTGACTGAAAGTAGTTCAAAATAAAAGCTACTTAGAGCAGCCAAAGCTGAAAACTTTGTGAGTGAAGAATTGATAACAGCCATTAAGGCAAAACAGACAACATCAATATAAGGCTCAGAGTCAAAGGATTATTTACACTTCTCATATGCTAAAATCCATAATATCACTGGATTTCAAGTAAATTTAAGAAGGACATTTAAAAAAATAATTGGTTTGCCAGCTATAAACTACAAACAGTTTAGGGGATAGGGATGTAAACTGGTAAGGGCTACAATCAAGGCTTGAGACCTCCAGTGTCAAATGCTTACTGTACATGCTCATGCTCTAAATACTAGTTGTTCTGTTCAATTTAGGGGTGCACTTTCATGTCAAAACCACAGAACTCAAGATCAAAGAAATTATTTTAAATTTAAATTTTATAATTTCACTAAGGATCTGTGCCTGTGGCTGGAAGGTTGCCGGTTCAAATCCCACGGCCAGCAGAGGAATGCTACTCCACTGGGCCCCTGAGCAAGGCCCTTAACCCCAGCTGCTCCAGGGATGCTGTACAATGGTTGACCCTGCGCTCTGACCCCAAGCTTCTCTCCCTGTCTGTCTCTCATGGAAAGCAAGCTGGGGTATGCAAAAAGATTCATTCCTAATGCAAGAAATTGTATATGGCTAATGCAGTTATCTCATCTTATTTATACTGTGATATAAAAGATTCAGTTTAATCTTTAGAAAAGTATTATGTAACATGGGTTAAAGCCATATTACTAAAGAATATCATATGCAGAGGAAATGCCAAAGTTCTTCACAGCTTTGAGCAAGAAATTCAAAAATCATATCACTCTTAAAATCTTCATGTGAGATTCAGGCTAGATTAATAATGCATAATCTTGCCATCTATCAAAACCTTCTTTTCACCAAATGAATTTCAAGTGTTATTTGCTCATACATTTGCTAACACATATTAGACAATTTGTTGACTCTTGCTTCACAGTGTGCCTATTTACTCAGGGTCACCATGACACAGTGAGGCGTCAT